CGCAGGAGACTTAATTTTCACGCTTTTCTCGCTATCTTTTGCTTTTTTTCGGGGTGGGTGGTGGGTGGTGGGCGGTGGGTGTTTGGGCGCTTGTGGATTTATTTATACTTTTTCCTGCAGCCTGTTCCATGTGAAAGTTTCAAAGCTGTTGCTGCTGTGGCTGCTGCTGCTGCATGCCACAAATTGCATAGACGTGCGAATGTTGCAGCGATAGAGTGTCCAATGGCAAGGGGCAGCAGGCCGGTCACCTGTCCCTCGGTTCGACATTCATATTTCATGGCGCATGGCGCATGGGGCATGTGGCAGCGTGCTGCCTCCCCCCCTCCCCCTCCCCGAGGCAGGACAATGAGAGTGAAGTCTCCACTCCATTCGCAGTCCATAAATCCAGCAAATGAGGCAGTCCATCTTGTGGCAGCCTGCCGGACGATGGCCGGAGCGACGATAGTGCTAAGAGGCGAAGGATAATGGGGCAGCTTTCAAGGCCTGTCGAAAGCCATTTAGCCGAAAAGTAAATTGAAATTTTGTGCCCCCAAAAGGGGGGCAGAAGGAGGAGCAGAAATGTAGAGGGACGGAAGGAAATGGAGAGAAGCGTTGGATATTGTTCAAGGCAGAGATTTTCTTTGCTTTTATCGACAAAGATATTCCATCTAATGGTTCTGTCCAGGTCTCTAGCTCTTTCCATTCAGATCTTTGGACACCCCTCGACGAGCCTTCAATCATCCAATCAGTGGCCATAATTCCGTTCGCATGTCCATAAATCTCTCCCCCCCCCCTCCCCCCCAACGGAACTCGGACCCAGACCCAGACCCAGCCCAACCCATTCCGAAAACCCGACAAAACCTCCACTTAACCTCCATTTCCATGCCCGTTTCCATTCCCACAAGAAAAACATAAACATCTATTTCGAGATTTGGCATAAAACATGCGCCAAAAACTTATTAAGACGGAAAAATGTTGACAATTGACGGATTGGCAAGAGGGGGGCAAGGCGGGAAGAGGAGGGGTAGAGAGAGGGGGTAGAGTGGGGTAGAGGGGGGTGCGGGAGCGCTAAAGTCTGTCAGTGGTTCAACAAGCGGTTTCCCCCCTCCGTCCCCCTTGCCATCTCCCCTTCCTGCTTTGGTCTCGTGTTTCGCTGTTTTGCGGTTTATCTGTCCCGCCTCTTCGCCACCCCCCTCCCCCCACACACAAATTGGTGTGTCTCCCCTCCGCCATCCACCATCCGTCGTCAGTCTTTGGGTGTCCCTCCCCCTCCCTGAGCCCCTCCCCCTCTCCAATTGGTTTTGCTGCCATTTTCAGTGACATTAATTTACAGTTTGACAAAACAAAACAAAAAAAAAGGAACAACAAAACTCATTAAAGAAACATATGAAAAGATAAGCAACGAAACGACAGGCAGCGACAGCAAAAGGCAAAAAAAGAACTTCTGGGGAGACTTTTGGGGGCAAATAATTTATGGAGAGGCGTTTTTTTGTATGAAAAAAGGTTAGAAAAGGACAGGGATAAAAGCTTTTTGCCTGAAATGTGCTCAGACCCGGCGAATGATCCATAGTTTGTACCAGAAGATCTACACAGGGTTTTTCCTAAGAAAAAGGAACTGTTCAGGATATGGAAAGGGTGGGAGGAGTTTTTGGAGGGGGGAGGGGGGAGGAAGTCATGTAATTTGATCCGCACTTGATCAGATCTTGAATCGATCATAAATTATCAAGGAAATAAGGCATTGAATGGTTCATGCAAGAAAAGAAAGTTAAAATTCAATCGAAGCGTGAGGAGGGAGAAGGGAGAGAGGGAGCGAGGGAAGGGATAAGCAGGCATCTGGTCAGCTTTCATTCAGAGCCTCTTCTTTTCTTCCCGATTAACCCAAAAGGAAATTGCAGATAAGCACCGACACACACGAACACGAACAAACACGAACACACACGACAGAGGGACAGCGAGACAGCGAGAGGCCCACATTATGCAATGATCTCTGTCCAGCGCTCGCTCTCCCGCTCTCCGCATTCCGTTCTGCCGCTGCCTCTGCCGCTGCCGCGGGCCGGCTCTTTGCATTCCGTTCTGCCTCTGTCGCTGCCGCTGGCCTGCTCTTAGCATTCTCCGTCTCTGTCTGTCTGTGTGTGTGTGTCCAGTGGAAGGAAATGAGGTGAATGCCTTCTTAGCTCTTGGCTGGCGACAAACAAAACAGAAAACAGCAAAACCGAAGGGAAAGAGGAAGAGGAAGCGGAGGAAGAAGAGGGCCTGCCCAAAGTCCATAAGCCATGCGAAATCGATATATTTCAGGGACACCTCATCTCTCTCTCCCCCCCTCTCGCTCTGCTCCCTCTCCTCCACTTTTATTTTGTTTCCTTCTTCTGCCTCCTTCCTTTTCGTTGAAGTGCAATGCGGTTTCCACAATTTTGTGCTCATTCAGGGTGTTGCCAGGGTATGTGCATCGCATGGGGTGCGGCACCAGCTCGCCCTCCCTTCGGGCACCTTTCCCTGCAATGAATGTACCCTGAGAAGGGGAGGGGAGTGTGAGAGAGTGTCCGCTAGAGGGAGGGGGAGAGGCAGGGCAAGAATGCAAAAACTGACAACCCGCGGGGAGAGAGGGAAGAGAGGGAGAGCATGACTAGTTTTCGACTGCCTGCCGTGGCTTTCGGTGGGGTGGTGACTCACCCACAGAACATTTGCCGACGGCTTGCAGTATTTGTTGCCCTCTTCTTTTGCTTTTCCTGCATTTGTTTTTGCTTGCACGTGTGTGTGCGTGTGTGTGTGCGTGTGTGTGCGCTTAAGTGTTCTCTTTCTTGTGGTCTGGTTTTCTGGCCTGCCCCTGTGCTGTGGTCCTTCTCTGACACACGTGGAAGCCACATCAATCCATCGGGCGACACCCTGCCACAGCCAACGGAGCCAACGACTGGGGAATACCCTACAGCAGCAGGAGGAAGGATACCCCCATTCAATCGATGATCCCCAGATCGCCCCCCCCGGCCCATCCATAGACACAAAAAGTAATACTTTCACAGCGGCTCCACCAATGCTCCACAGACATTGGAAAAACTTGTTCTGCCCACCGCTTTTTTTTCCATCTTTTTTTTTGTAGTTATCATCTCTCATCTTTTACCGCCTTTTTCCTCATCGTTGACTTTACCTTTTCTCAAGCTTTTCCACAGAGTCTCTCCTGCCTGCCGCCTGCCGCCTGCCTGCCTGCCCCTTGGGGCACTCAATTATCTGCACTTGTCACACACACAGAAACAATCCAGATGGTGGCTTTTGTGGCCCCGGGATAATGACGATCACTTAGCACATGATCCATTCATCTTTCCATTCCATGCATTCGGATCGGAGATCTCTCGAGGAGAGACAGAGAGAGGGGCAGGGAGAGGCCTGATGATGATTAGCAGGCACTTTCATACGTTCATAAATTCTGAGCTTTATCTCTGATTTAAGACTAGCAAAAAAAAAAAACCAGAAGAAAATTGCGTAACGGAATTTCTTGGCAGGTTTTCTACTCCCCCTTCCCTCTCCCCCTCCCCCCCAGTCCATGAAACGCTAATTGCTGGAGCTGCACATAAAGTGGGAAAATGTTGCAAGCCTCTTCGGCCGTGGGGGAGTGTGCGGTGGGGGTGGCGGGGGGCAAAACAAATTATCGTTAAAATAAATGTACTTTTTTGTGGCTTTTGGCTAATGCAAATATAACCCCCCCACATACCCCTCCCCCCCCCCAAAAAATGTTGCCAAAAAATTGCAATAATTGGGGTTCCCAAAAAGACAAAAACCACGGGGGGAAAGCGATACTCAAACGATCCTCCAGCGATCGCTGCCATAATCCTCCTTCGATCCTCCATCGACTCTCCATCTGCTCCACTGTGGCCCCAAAATCGTATCGAATCGATCGATCGGATGGTCAAGCCCTTAGCCCGAGGCCCGACACTTGTTTTTATGGTGGTGGGGGGAAGGGGAGTGGGGAGGGAGGGGCCTCTGTTTTTGGGAAAGCATCGAATCATTGATTGCATAAGTAGGACAGCAGAAGGCGTGGCCCTGGAATTTGGGTTAACAAAACAGAAAGGAGGGAGAGGAGGGAAGGAGGAGGAAGAGCTGCTGGTGGATCAGGAAGTGATTTATGCGAAGAAGAACTCTTGTTTTTGGGGAGGGGTCGGGGGGGAAGCAGCAAATCTGTGACCCATTTAGGGGCACAAATCAACTCCCACACGTGGGGGAGGAAACAACAAATTCCCTCCGATTCCCGAAACCATTTAAATGTCACGAGAATGTCACACCGCAGCACAGATCGAAGTCGTCTGTGGCGGCGGTGGGAGGCGCCTCCTCCTGTGTTGCCTGTCACGCCCTCGTTGCACCTCCTCCATGCAATGTGGCAGTGCGGCAGTGGCTGTGGATTCGGATTCGCTTTGGTTTCGTTTTCGTTTTAGGTGTGGAATGACACATTTTGTTGCACAGAAAAAGGGGGTGGGGTGGAGTGGGGCTGGAGGTCCCGGGGATCGCTGAGCTGGCAAATTCCTTGGGGCGGGGAACTCATGATTATTTATAGACCTGCAAGTCTCGGAATATTTCCCGATGATGCCCCATAATCATCTCTCCTTCAAATGCTGTATCTTTGTATCTTTGTTGCACTTTGAACTTTGTTTTTTGGGGATTTTCAAATCGATTCCAAAATCGAATAAAACTAATCGAAAATTCTCGTTTCTTTTGCTTTTTAGGTGAGTGGAAAATATGGAAAACTGAAGTGTACTTCCGCCTCCCCCCCTCCCCCCCTGTCGCCCTTTACGGACAGGTAAACGACATAACGTTAAGGCCATTTCCCCTCCGGATATGGGGGGGAATGATAATCCATTTGATAAGACGATTATCGAGAATGGTAATCGTATGCAGATCCGTCTTTGGAGCGTAGGAAGGGCCCAACTTTCGGTGTAATTGCGGATGTCATCGACCAAAGCCCCAAAGGTGTGCGGCAGATGGCGATCTATCCGGAATACGGAATTCAAACTACAAATAATCGGGTTTGTGGGGGAGTTGGAGCTGCGTTTCTTTTATTTGTATTTTTTTCGGCTGGAATTTGAGCGAATTTTCATTGAAAAATTCCAAAATTGTGCGTGGGAGGTGGCTCCGATTTGGTTTTCGGTTTGGTTTTTGGGTTTCATTCAAACTCGTCCGTCCATTTGTAGACGGACTTTGTTTTGTTCACCTTTTTCTTGCCCATCAGCGTGACGGGGGTCCTGTAGGGGTCGGGGGGCAGGCGGAGGCGCCGGCGCTGCTTCACCTCCCCGGCGAGGTCCTTGTAGACCCTGCGGCGGTCCCTGGCCATGCGGCGCCACATGTCGCGGGCGACGCGCTGCAGCACCACCAGGTCCTTGAAGCTCAGCCTGCGGTTGTGTACGGGGAACTCGTCCTCCAGCCGCCCCCCGCGCCACTCCTGGTCGAGCTTCATCTTGTAGTAGGCCTCGTACATCTCGCGCACGAAGTTCTGGAAGCCCGAGGTCTCGCCGTGGTTCACCGTCTCGCGGTGCGCCACATGCTGCAGGGTGCTGCCCGTGAAGGCCACCCTCCGGCGCTGGCTGCTGCGATGCGAGGCCTTCGTGGGCCACACCGTGGTGGTGGGCACCCGCATATGGATCTGTGTCTGGGGGTAGGTCCACGCCGGTGCCACTGGCGGTGCCGCTGGCAGCTCCGCTGGCAGCTCCGTTGGCGGATCTTCTGGCAAAGATTCCGCGGAGATGCTGGCACTCGGCGGAGGACCCAGCACTGCGTCGAACATGTGCCAGGCCCTCGACCAGATGCTCGCCATTTTTCCAAAGAGAGAACACAAACGATGCTGACTGCGGCAACAGCGCCTCCTTTGCTGCCCCCCAAAACTCCCGCCCGTTTTCAAAAAGATAAATCCAATAACAGAGTCATGGCTGACTGGATGGATTCGGGGGGAGGACTAAGGGATCGTTGAAGCGATGTCCAGCCAAAAGACTGGCAATCGAGGGATCGAGGGATCTGCCCCAGATGATAGATCACTGTTTGGAGCCTTTATCCCCCGAGTTTTTTAAATTGTAGGGTTCTTAAATGATCTTCTAATGATCTAGGGATCCCCTAACGATCTGCACTGCAATCCAGGTTCAGAAATTCCCCAGAAAACCTGCGTTCCCCCCCCCCCCCATTCATTTATCAACCGAAGAAATCCCTTCACCTTGCCGGCCCTGAAGTTTCCCATTAAATTAATTAGAGATCATTAGAGAGCGTCCCCCTTCCCCTCTCTGGTGCCCTGGTGCCCTGTTGCTCTCCGATCTCTGATCTCTGATCTTTCAGGGCGTGTCAGGGTCGTCGTAGACGTCGTCGTCGTTGGTTATGAAATTTCATTTCAAAATCGTTTATCAAAGTCGCATTTTGTTGGGATTACACGGACTCCGTGGACTCCGTGGACTCTATGAGGGTGGGGTCCAGGTGGGGCAGGTCATTGACCCACTAAGCCACAGAGGCAAATGTAAGCCACCTCCAAGACGGGGAATCGAAGTCTTGGACTCCAAGATCGAGTGGAGCCACCACCTGAACAAATTTTGTCCACATTTTATTTGCAGTTTTTTCTGTGTTGCAGAGTGGCGTGGAGTCTAGAGGGGAGTCGAGTGGAGTGGAGTCGAGTGGAGTGTCGTTTTCCATTTGCATTTTCATTAATTTTCCTGCCGTTTGTGGGGCATACCCCTCCAAGGGGGCAATGGGTAAAGCGAAGCATTTGCCGACTCCAAAAAAAGGTTTTCATTGCTTAATTTTCTAGATTTTTGGGTGGGAAAATAGAAAGAAAGGAAAAATGTGGCCACAGACCGAATCGAGGGTATCAAATGTTTCGCTTCCCATTTGGGCAGTGGCTCTGTTGTTTGTCTTTTGATGGCGTCGCCTAGACGGCTCGAGGATGCTCTGCCTCCCTCTCTCCCCGTCTCTTGTGGCTCCTTCCTCTTCTCTTCTTTGAGCCAGAGCTTGGTGGGGAGTGGGGAGGGGGGGTAGGCGGGTAGGCGGGTAGGTGGGGGGTAGATCATTGGGAATTGACAGCCGCCGTTCGTTTTGCTTCCTTGTTTGCCAATTGCATCGCCAAAGCGACGCTTGAAATGCATTTGCATGAGGCCTCCACGGAGGAATGATGGAAGTGGGTGGTGGGAGGGGGGAGGGAGAGTGGGAGCAGCAGGAGACGGAGACTCTGTTGGCTAGACAGACACTCACTCAATCATTCATTCATTCAGGCAGTCATTCCGTTGCTCATTCAATCATTTGCCTTCCTTCCTTCCCCTACCCCTCCCCCACCCCCCAACCCATGTTCGCTGATTCATTTATTTGCCTTCTTTTTCTTCCCCCCTTTTGGCGTGTGCTCCCGCCTACCCCCTCCCCCCACCCGTTGCCCTGCTGCTGCGCGTCTCATTCATTCAAATTTTTCGTAACTGTTTCTTTTCTTTTTCTTCTCGTCTGTCTGGCAATTTGACATTTTCTGTTAGCTCTCCTCCTGCCCCCTGCCCCCTGCCCCCTCTCCCCCCTTTTAGGTGTGTTTCCAGAGCTTGTTTTTATGCGGTGCGTGGCCTCCCCTCCCCCCCGTCTGCCCCCTGTGGCACCCCCAGTGGAAAATGTCTGTCATGTCTTTCGGTTTACAGCAATAAATTTGCTAAAAACAATTTAATATGATTTTCAGGATTTGTGGATTGGGGACTGGGGATTGGGGATTGGGGCGGCCACTCCTTTCGGAGCAGAAATCAAAGAAAATCAAAGAAAATCTCTGAAAAACCCTGGGAACACTCAATCGCCGAACAGAATGATGTCAGAACTTTTGTCGTGCCCCCTAAAGCCCTGTAAAACCCCCCTCTCCCGCCCCCTCCCTCAAAATGGAACAAACAAATGGCGATATGTTGACAGCGAGCGCTCCCTCCCTCCCTCCGCCCCTGGGTCCGTCGCTGATGGAGCATGAGGGGGCGGAAAGCGTAATTGAGGCAGGGACCAGCAGGGGGTTAACAAGAGGCAGGGAGAGGCAGCCCGCATATCGTTTGCTCGAGCTAAAAGTCACCACAAGGGAAGTACAGTTCCCCCCCCCCGTCCCCCCTCGTCGCCCTTTCCGTTCTGCGGGCGGAGTATTTATAGGAATTGTTCGGGAGATTAACGAAAGGAATTGAATTACTCACAGAAATGATGCATGCAACTGGTTTCCAGTGGTTTCCAGTGGATCGCAAAATAAATGAATTTCTTCAAGGGGAGATGCCCGTTCTTAGGCTCGAAAATTGCCTAAATTTCAGTATTCCACAAACGCTTTTTGGTGGGTTTTATTTGTACCTAAAAGGAGTAGTTTATTAAATTTTTATTTCATTAAAAAATATTTCAAAATGTCGGCTACCAAAGAACCCGCTCGCGGCAGTTTCTACAAGCAACAAAAATTCTTAAGATAATTGACATTTGAAGGGTCCGATTTTCACAGAAAAACCTTTTGACATTTCCTGAAATTTAGTCCGTTTTTGGGGCTTAAAACGGGAACCCCCCCTTGAAGAAGAATTTAAATATAAGAGTACGAAGGATCGCTCAAGGGATGTTTCTACTGCCAAAAAGATACGAAAAACAGTTGATGGATGAATGATGGATGGATCGTTGAAGAGGAGGAATTATGGGGGGAATGGGGTTTTGTTTTGTAGCTCCGAAGGGCCCATCCATTGGGGAAAACTGTATAAAATTATCGTATAATTCCATATTTTAGCAGGGGGAGGGATGCCGCGTCGCTCTTTACTTAACAAAAAAAAAAGTGATGCAGAAGCCGTTGGAAAAAGATTTCTCAAAATTAGCAAACAATAAAAAAAAACAGAAGATAATAAAATGCATTTTTGTTCCAGATTCCCATAAAAGTGATATGGAAAAAACGCGACTGTCTGTTGCAACCCCTCTGCCCCAGTCCCCTCTCTGCCTCAGTCCCCCCCTCTCTGCCTTAGTCCCCCCTCTCTGCCACAGTCCCCTCTCTGCCTCAGTCCCCCTTCTCTGCCACATTGTGCGTGCCAGTGGATCGTAGACTTAAAGGAAGAGACTTTTGCCTCTGCCTCTGCCACTCCCGTCCCCCCCCCATCCTCTCGCTGTCACCCCCTCTGACTAACCAATTGACATAATTCCCAAGGAAAATGTTAAATGCATTAACAAAAGCAACAACAACAGCAACAACAACAACAGTTATGTCTCAATTATTGCCCCCAAAACCAGTTTACAGCTGCAAAAAAACAAAACAAGAAAAAAAAAGACACCAGAGGAAAAAGACCGTCAAAAGAAAACTTAAATTAAACTTTAAGAAGCAGCAAAACAATTTCCATTACAAAAACAACAACGAACGAACGAAGGAAACAGAAAAGAAACGAAGTGCTGATACCCTTTCGGCGAATGATTAGATCAGATATGAGGTATTCCTCCTCGAAACCTCGAAAAACAAGTAGAAGTCCATCGGCAGAGTAAAGTAAAGAGCACAGAAGTTTTTCATCCCAAAAGTATATTTTCTTTCGACTCTTGGGCACTTTTTCGATGCTGATGATCTGTGGGTGATTTTAAGGCCATATCGATAAAGCGATCTAGTATTTTCCATTACAAAAACAACAGCAACACCTAAAGGAAGGGTAAGAAGGGTTTGATACCCTTTAGGGGGGGGCATGTTAGACGATTTTCCTGCACCTGTTTCTCCTCGAAACCCTCTTCGACTCTATGGATTCTCTAGTCCAAAAATCTGTTGAAAAAGTCGCTATACCTCCTCCTGGAAAAGGGTATGGGAAAAACAATAACAATTTCTGCCAACAATGTGGAAAAATTGCAACAAATAAAAAAAAGCGTGGAGAGGGAAAAACCTCCACGCAATGCAGTTTTTCCTGCTTCCCATGGCCGAAAAAAAACCCCCAACATGTTTTCTATAAATTAATTTCCTTTTTGTGAAAAGCATGAAAAAGCATGGGAAAAGTCCAAGGATGCAAATTGTTTGGAAAGAGCAAAAACCCCAAGAAGAGGATGTTTTTAGATGCAAAAAATGGGGAAAAGCAAGAAGCAAAGGAGGTTTCCATAGGGTTTTGCGGCCAAAGAAAGGAGCTTTTTTTGAGGGTTTTTTACTGTCCAAAATGGGAAAGCCTTTAACCTCGAGTCGCAGGCGGGGGAAAAGTGCCTCTTCTTTGAAGAGCAACGAAAAACCCACGCACTGTTGACGGCCTTAATGGAGACATTAAAAAGGGGCTTCCCCCTCCATCGCCCTCTCTGTTGTGCTGTTGTGGCGCCTCAGTTGCTTTTAATGGTCACTTGTGGCACTCTACTTCCCCTTCCTATGTCGGTGTCGTCCACTGCACTTTCCTATCGCTTGAAACTGTCGCAACTTTGTTAAAGTTTTTATTTATGTTTGTTGGGGGCTCCCCTCCATTGGGGGCCTTTATTTGTCGTCTGCTTCTCTCATTGAGCACTCGCACGCACGCCCACGTTTCGTCGTTCCTCCACTGCCTCTTTGCCTCTTCCATGCGTGTCTGCCGCTTTTCATAGGCTATTAAATGTTGCACTATAAAGTTCTCCCTTCGATTGGATGGATGGCTGTCAGCGGAGCGTGGAATGGAGCTCTCCAAAGGTCGATTGGGGCTGTATTACACTTGGAAACACTTGGATATGACGCGTCCATGTTCCTTTGTAGATCTGTATAGATTGGAATTCATTGATATTCATGTAGAAATTATCGAACCAACGATAATTTGGAGAATCTGTGCGGAAAAAGCGCAGGTGAATGAAGAATGCTAGGAAAAAGACTATAAAATTATAGATAGAAAGGGAGAGGTCGACGAATACTTGAAAACTACTAAGAAAATACTAAAAAAATTCTAGAAAATACTAGAAAATACAAA